TGAGAAATAGGAAGAAACAAAGAAATTAATGGACTTGCAACCAATGCTTCTGGTGAAAAGTGGAGGCCTTGGTTCTATGGCTTTTTTTGTTTTATGATCGCACCATGGACAATTTAAGTTTGATGGATTAATTTTTGCCTCAGAAAAAGTGACAAAACGTCAATTTTCAGTTAAGTTTCATTACTGGGAATTTAGGGGAAGTTCCTATAAAAGTTTATAAATGAAGGGTAAGAATTTACAGATTTTTTTTTCTTTACGGTTCCTGAACTTGGATTTTTATAGCGTATAGATGTATTTTCCAGTCACATTCCCCACTGGTGTAAAGGAAAAGTGATTCATGAGCTGCAGCATGTTTTCAGAGTTACAACATACCATGAACCAAAATGGGTAACTGCTTCCAGTCCCCTGCTGCCCTGAGCAGCTCTGTTGCATGACACGTTGCTTATACATTCACAAAAAACAACCGGAATCTGCCTTCTAGGCACATAAGAAGAGTTGATCTTCCTCTGGAGGAGGAAAAACCCCAAGGTTTCAAAAAATACAAAGACAGAGAAGGTGCAAGGGGATCTTTGGTATGGGAGAAGTGATGAGGGAGGCCGGAAGAACTCTGCCCATAAGACCCATCTGCATCTATCAGAGCAAACTTCCTTCACCAGCACAAGGTCCAAATTTGGGTAGTGCCTTCACTGTATAGCTATCGCCCAAAAATCACAAATTGCTGCCCTACCAATATTTAACATTAGCAGGAGGGTAAAAAACCTACAAAAGCCAATTTGCTTCTCCCATTCCACTGCTCTAGAAACAACCCAGTCAGATGCCAAAAAAACCAAAAATGACACAGAATGAATGGGCACAAGTCATCACTCAAACACACCAACATGTTTCGTCTGCTTTACCTGGAAATCTTTACAGAGGCAACAAAGCCTCTACTAAAATCACGTGGGTTTTTTTCCTCTGCGTGTCTAGCCTTCATCATTGCCTATGGAAATGGGACACCCTCACTAATATGAGGTGATTCACTCAAGTCCATCTCGTGAAGGATTTTTCCATACCCAGCCGTTTTTTGTTCAAAGGCTGGCACTGCTCTTCAGTGTCACAGCTGGAAGTTCAACACAGCTGAAAATTCTCCAGGTGGAAAACTAAAGTCCAAAGTTAATTGTTTATTAGCAAGAATGCATTTAGTGAGAACCTTGTAGATTGTATTATCCAACCATGTGTAAGAGCCTCCCAGATCACATTTCTCAATCTAAGTTCTGCTAAAACTAGTTATGCTGATTGCAATTTGCTTAAAGGACGGTTAAAGGTTGCTGGGAGGATGCTAGCATATCTGTTGCTAGAATATATGCATTAAAACATCCAATGACAAGCAAACATGCATCTGAAAGACCCCAAATATAAAAAGGTGTCAGCAGAAATCCCTGTTGGAGAATGAAAACCATAGAGCAAGCAGGGTTTTAATTTGCCTGCATACAGCAAAGCACTTGTTACACACAAAGAACCCTGCAAAGGCAGGTTCTCCTTGAGATCTGTCAATGGGATCAGTGGGAACCTTGCTAAGGGTGGCCGCTCCTTACACAGCAATGTCCTCATAAGCAAAAGAAGCAACTCAGTTCTGCTGACCACATGTGTGTTCCTCGTGGGGAACAGGTCTTCTTCACAGTGTCTATCATTTATCAAAAAAAATGGGCAGAGATGAAACTTATGATACCTCTATGCCTTTGTCTTAAATTCAGAGCGGACAGGGTTTACCCTGGCACTGACATGGCAAGCACAACTTCAGGGTTTTTCAGATCCTCAATACTGAATAAGAAAAAAAGTATTAAAAGCACCTTTTTGAATGGGAATTGGCAGAGTTTTCATTTATGCTCATCCTTCAGGCTGATAACTTATCTACCCAATAAAGGTGCTGATGCCTAAACAGCAAAATGACTTCAACATCCAAAAGAATGGAAAGGACTCTGAGGTCACCCCATAAAGGTTTTCCCACAAAGACACAGTAGCGCCAAGTCCACTCCATTGGCCTTTTCCCACTGTAAAGAATTAACTCACAGAGGTACTGCATTTAGGGAATTAGGTCTGACAACCCAAAATGTCCCATTCTTGCACTTACTGGAGGCAAGGGCAGAATTACCACTGACTCCACCTGAGACAGGAGTTCTCTGTTTCCTCAGTCTTACAGGTGGCTTATATATGCAGCTGTAGCCTGCTGCCTGTGACCAGCCTGTCTGCTGACTCAGGGAACAAAGCAGCAGCCTGAGCAAGCAGCAGTCCATGGACATGCCCTGGTTTTAGTCTTCTTCTGCCTTTACTGCCTTGCCCAACTCCAGGTTCATACTAGAAATCAATGGCACCTTGTTTCATTTTTTTGTAAGCCTTCCTATTTACAGCATGAAGGTCTTCAGGGCTTGGTCTGTGCCCTCTTCACTGACATCTGCCCAATGTATTTGAGGAGTTATTGCTGCAATACTGAGCCAGGCTGTTGTGCCTAGGTAGGGAATCACAGGGTCTGGGCACACTGCCTGTGCCCTAGCCACGCTGGCTAGCCACATCCCGAGACCAAACACTTTCTCTTGAGTCATGGCAATCCATGGGCATGCAGGATGCCTTACAAGCACATGGAGTGACAGCTCCGTACTCTGAATATCTGACAATTTGCAGTGGGCTTTATGCAGCACGGATCACAACAGATAGTGACAGAGCTAGAAGGGGTGAAAGAGGACAGAAATTACAAGTGTGGAAGATACTGAGATGGGCTTGATGTTCTGTGTCCACTGTGGGAAGGAAGGGTTTGGGAGACCTTGCAGGCACACATGTACGAGATTTTTTTTTTTCCCAGCCTATATAACATAGGCTGATTTGGCAGTCCTCCTCACTCAAGGCTAAATTAACATTTCCTTGGTAAAAACTGTAGAGGGTTCACATTTAGCCACTTAATTAATTCACTTAAAAGGGTAATTAATTCACAGATACCACCACTTCCTTCAGGCTACTTTTTAGCATGAAACTAATATTGCTGGTGCAGTCAAATAAGCAAAATTATTTCTCTGATCTGTTTTATTTTAAAGGTGGTGGTGGGGAAGTCGACAAAGACCTGAGTCAGCCCCACACATCCCTGCTGGCTGTTTGGTCAGCCTCATTTCATTATTTGCCTTTGTGCCTGGCTGCTGCAGGATGTAACACCTCGCTTTGTCTGGAAAGCAAGCAAGCATTCAGAACACATTACTCACAGGCTGCAGCTCCTGGCAAAGTCACCTTCATGCCACGTAACTCGCAGGTGGGGAACACTGCACAGTGACTGCAGCTTATGAGGGAACTCTCCAAACCCCCTTGCCCCAACTCTTGCGACATCCTGTCGGTACCTACGGGGAGAGATCCTGCTCGGGCATAAGTGGCTCATGAACTGTGCCCTGTTGCTTTTAAGGATGAGAAGGACCCTGACATCCTTGTGATTTGATTTCATGCCTATCTCAGAATGTGACAAGTGGCCAACTTTTCCCTAGCAAGGCTACTTTCGCTCTACGCTCCTCCTACAATCAAGGGGGAGGGAGGCTATAAATGCAGACTCCTGTACCTGATTCATTCAGTCTCCTCTGATTATAATGAGAGCCTAGTGAGATTAGCTGCACAAAGCTGATAGCCTTTGCAAAGACTTCTTACGCATGCTTTGATGCCTATTACTGAGCTCAACAACTCACTGAACTGAACATTCATTTTAAAAAGGCATCTGTTCTTGAATTAAAGGCACTACAGATAAGATCGTCTGATGTCTCTGTCTCAGCCGTCACACTCACTTTTCTTTCTGGTCCCTGTAGGAAAATAGGACATGGAAAATATTTTGGAAAAATGGTACCCTGAAGTGCCTGAAACCTAAGGGACCACATTCAGAGGTTCAGATGAGATGAGTCCATCTTAAACAATACTGAATATACCACTGCCTCTCTGCTTTCATTATCCCTTAAAATCTATTGTCTTTTTACTCAGTAGGAGATTTTTCCTGATAGTCAGAGAATCAAAGCAAGTAAAATCTCATCTTTCATTAAAAGAGAGAGACAGAGAGGATTCTAGCCTGTGTATAGGTGCGGAGATGCTCTTAAACATGAACATGTCCTAGAGTCTCATAAATGTGAAAACAAGTTAAAAATGCCAATACTCTTTTAAAATAAGTCTCATGATTTGCAGGCCTTCCTAATCTTTGAGCGCTTATGTTTGGCAACACTGTAAATAACAGCTTCTGGCCCCAAATGAAAGGAAAATTTTATTGTTAATGGAGAATGACACAAAAGATAAATAAAGATGATCTCAAACCTCTGTCAAAGAGTTCATATACAAGATAAGTCATTCAGGAGAAAGATGTCACATTTGAAATGTTTGCTTACATCACAGAACAATCTTTCAGATTAATCCTGCAAGGCAGATGAGGAAAGAGTAGTAAGACATTTCCACCATCTGCCCTGGTGGAAGGAAAGGAGACCTCACCAACATGTCCAGAAGCAACTCCAACCTTGCAGTCTGCACATCATCTGGAAGACAAGAATTTAAGTTTGGCCTGAACCTTCAACAAAGTCATCAAGCCCTTATCTAGATCAAAAACCTCTTCCAGGCAAGTTCTATTTGCAGCCAATCACTCCCATTGACAGCCCATTTCCAGCGTCACTCCACCTGGAGATCTAGGCTTTCTTTCTCTCAACCCAAACACTGACCCTAACCCAAACCCTAAACAAACAAAGTGTACTGGCCTCTCTCAACCCCACACTTCCACTCCCTGGCTCATTTTAACTCTCCCACCTCTGTGCAGACAGGATTTATTACTTCCATGAAGGAGCTGGGAAAGCAAGCCGCACCATGTCCAGGCTGAGCTCCATATTTCAATTGCCCCATGATAGTAATTTTTCATACATCTGACATTGGCCTCCTCCCTGGTACTTATATCACCATCTTCAGTAGATCTTGTGTGTCTCCTTCAGTAGTCTCCTTGTGTAAGCTCAGCCTGCAAGGCTCAGGCTCCAGGTGTGTCGGACCAGTTCTAGAAGGTCCCTGTTGTGCATCCAGGTGTGCAGAGTGCCTCAGTCCAGGCATTAAGACCATGAGACTACCTTAAAAATGCATTTAGATAAATATAAATATCTCATCCTGGGAAGGCAGGCACAGAGGAAGTGTTTCCAAATCCATACCTTCAAAGTCATTAAACAGATTCACCAAAAGTCTTGCTTTAGAAGAATAAAAAAATTTTCTCCCCTATTTAGCATTGGTTTGTTATTCATTAACATGCACCTAGACTGTGTTTTCAGGCCTTTTCCCTTGAATATGGGGATTAAAAGTTATTTTGAAATCACAGAATCACACAGAATCACAGAATGGCAGGGGTTGGAAGGGACCTCCAAAGATCATCCAGTCCAACCCTCCTGCTAAAGCAGGCTCAACTAGAGCAAGTTGCACAGGACATCATTCAGGCGAGTTTTGAATATCTCCAAAGAAGGAGACTCCACAACCCCCCTGGGCAGCCTGTTCCAGTTCTCGGTCACCCTCAAAGTAAAGAAGTACTTCTGCATATTCAACTGAAACCTCTTATGCTTCAGCTTGTGCCCATTGCCCCTTGTCCTGTTGCTGGGCACCACTGAGAAGAGTCTGGCTCCATCCTCGTGACATCCACCCTTAAGACATTTGTAAGCATTTATAAGATCCCCTCTCAGTCTTCTCTTCTTCAGGCTGAACAAGCCCAGCTCTCTCAGCCTTTCCTCATAGGAGAGATGTTCCAGTCCCCTCATCATCTTTGTAGACCTCTTCTGGACTCTCTCTAGGAGTTCCTCATCCTTCCTCAACTGGGGAGCCCAGAACTAGATGCAGTACTCCAGATGTGGTCTCACTAGGGCAGAGTAGAGGTGGAAGAAAGGAATTCTTCACTCTGGGAGCCTGAACTTTAACATGGGCATCATATGCTCAGAATAAAACCATGACTTCCCATAAGTGCATTTATCTACCCCCCATGATGATGGATCAGCAATGAAAGAAAGTAAAGAAAGCATTTCCTTCTCAGCTGCAAAACACAGATCTTTCAGAAGTTTACTTCAGTTAGCATTACCAAATGACCTCAAATTCCAGTGCAATTTTCTTTTAAATTGGTGTACTCTGCCTGTCTGGGATGGGGTTAATTTTCTTCATAGCAGCCCGTATGGTGCTGTATTTGGGTTTTGTGACTAAAAAAGTGTTGATAACACACCAGTGTTTTAGCTGTTTCTTAGCAGTGTTTGCACAGTCTCAAGGCCTTCTGTTTCCCACTTTGATCCACCAGCAAGTAGGCTGGACAGCTGACGCAGATTGACCAAAGTGATATTGCATGACACATAACGTCATGCTCAGCAATAAAAACAGAGAGATGGGTGAAGCTAGTAATTCCTTGGAGACTGACTGGGAACCAATCTACTTGTGGGAGGCGGTGAGTGACTGCATTTGCATCACTTGTTTGGTTTTTTTCTTCTTGCCTTAGCTTCTTAAACTGCCTTTTTCTCAACTCATGAGTTTTCTCACTGTTGCTCTTCATATTCCCTTCCCTGTTCCACCGGGGATGCAAGCGAACAAGCAGCTGGGTGGTGCTTAGCTGCTGGCCAAGGTCAAACCACCGCAACTAGGATCAATTTGAGTCAGGGAAAAACATAGTTCCTTCACAGTCTTCACCCGCAATGGTGCTTTTTGCCTTCAGAAGGCCTCAGAAGTTGCCCAAAAGTCAAAAAGTTCTGGTTTGTATCTGTTCATATCCTGCTGTTGAATGCAGGAACATGACTTCAACTACTACAGGCAACAAAGTCTAACACACAAAGCATGGATGTGCGCAGAATGTGAATCCAAAGACTTGAGCACATGGTGTGTGCTGTCTGCTCATCACAGGTAAATGTGGGCACAGAAAGTTGAAGAAATACTTATAGAAGATTCCAGTTGTGTCACATGGGCTGCTGCCTATGCTAAATGAGTTGATGCTTGTTGTGAATGAGTGTCTTACACAATTTTGATTTAGTAGCAGTTTAGACTTTATTTGTGTCTTTGTGGCAAATCACAGGTTTGGACTGTGATATTTTAACAGCACTCAATCATCAGTCAATTAATAAAGTGATTTGCCAAAATTAATCAAAACAGCAGCTTAGTTAAAGATTTGAAGATGGCAAGGTTTATTCTATTACTGCATGGAAGAAGTACACAAAGGAAAATTAAGTTACACTCCAGTTCAGGTAATTCACAGAGAGACAGTGGATGCAGAGAATAAGGAGGACCCTCCCGCTGAGTCACGAGGTTCAGAATGGACCCCCTTGGTTTTTAAACTCCTTCTCAGAGAATAGTCCAGGTGAGGCTAGGTCCAATTGCAATCTCAGACTTGGTCAATGATTTAGGTCTAAGGATAATTTGTGTCTAGCAGCAGTCTAAGACTCACTTTGTAATTAAATCACACATTTACAGATTACTTAAATCAATTCACAACATGCATACACACACATGATTTTATATATATATATATATGTATATAGAGGTACACCTGTTAAAAATTCTCTTTGAGTTCAGTTAAATATTCATGTTAAATACCTTGGCATTTCTCAACAGGTGAGGGTTGAGCCTCAAAGAGTGAAAGGTTTCAGCCCAGGCTCTACTGTTAGTTTTTGGTGATGGACCTCTGATTTTCTCAAACTTAAGAGTTTGAGAACTCTGAAAGGTGTCCCATTCAGCGGGAGATACTGGTCGCAGCTCACTGTGGTCCAGGAGAGCTCAAAGGGGCACACTTAGGACCTATGTTTTACAGGGTCATGAGATGATTGGCTTTAGTCATTAGTAAACTTTCATCCCGACCACAATCCAGCTGGTGATTACTGGAATTCCAGTAACAATGGTACCGCTCTGCTTGGGTTGTGACCCAGGTGAGGCATGTTCCAAAGCTGTCAGGGGATAACTGATTGTTCCTTTTCTGCTCCCCGCCTTGACCAGTCAACTGGTGTTTCTGATACCAACAGTGCCTCTCCCCACCTCAACCATGTAGGAGTTTCTGGCTTAACCAACCAACCCACTACACAAAAGCCGAGGTCCAGTGGGAATTCCTGAGGTCATAAAGTGGCCGAAGAGAGAAGGGCGGGGAGATGGAATGCACCACCACAATGCTACAGTAGGGGAACTCTGGTATGACCAGATCCACAGAAGAAATGGTTGAGTATCACGGCTGGACCATAATGACCTGTACTAGTGGAATCCCTCTAGTGACTAGTGTGCCAGTGTGGTCTTGGTGGGGGTCGGTCCTGCTCTTGGCTTCACCCTGGACTTTGCAGTGGATTCAAGCAGATCACATTACCTGCCTTTGCTGCTTACAGCCACAAACCATGGGCAGCGGTCTTAGACTCCATTGCACCCTGCTTTGATGTCCTTGCTGAAGTGCCCTGGGCATCAGTCACCCACTTAGGAATGACTGCCATGCATTTATGGCAGACAACTGGGCCCTGGCCACAGGTGTTGGTGGTCGAGCGGACCCTGAGAAACTGCCAGAGTGGTGCCTTCAGTCACAGGGCAGACGATGAAGGAAGCCAGACCCCATGGAGGGGGACGGGGTGGCAGGGCCTGGCAAGGCAGCCCCTCAGGGAGGCCGCTAGAGGCCCAGGGATCTTGGCAATGGTGTTAGAGGCACCAGTCCCTGCGGGGAGGTGGCAAAGGCAGGTCCTGCATGGAGGGGAGAGAGGAGAGGGCTTTGAGGGCTGCAGACAGCTCTGCCTGCAGCCGGCTGCCATGGGACACCACTGGGGCCTCCACGGGTTGCCACAGCCAGGGCCAGGCAGCGACCCACACTGGGCCAGGCAGTGACCCACACCAGGGCCAGCACCCATGGCCAGGGAGAGTGGTGAGTCGTCGGGGTCTCTCCATGGCCAGTGTGGGTCCCTGGGGGAACAGGCTGAGCACCCTGGGGTCCCCTTCCAGGGCCTGTCCCCCACCTGGCAGCACCAGCAGAGAGGCACCAACCCCATGATGTAACCTGGCTCTGCATTGGCAAGGATGCTTTTATTCTCTGGGTAACAAGAAGAAATTACATGTAAGCTCCGTGTTAAAGAGATGGTAAGGAAAGACGGGTTCACATCATGGCCCTCCCTGCACATGAAGGTTGAAGGCTTTGCTCCTTCTTCTGAGCATGGCTCCAGACTGAGAGCTGCGTGACAAAAACGAGTTTGTGTTTATTGAGAGCTGAACGCAGAGACTCTTTAGCCAATTTTATCCCGACCTCTAATATCTAAACTGTGTAATTTATATGGCACTTCAGCTGTGACCGCAAATGACCGCGTAGAGTTTTCTAATGTTTTTTCCTTAACCACGGCTGGTGCCACCTCAGCAGACAAGCGCAGCAACAGCAACATCTAGTGGCAAATGAGGTGGTGGCTACACCAGAGCAGAAACCAACTCCAACTGATAGGCTGTGAACCAGACACAAATGTGCAAGAACAGAAAGTAGCAACAGAAAACTTTTTCTGGAATAATTTGTATTTAAAAGCCTTCTCATGTTTACATACATATATAACATATAGAATATATATATCTCAAATATAAACTAGTCTTAACTCTTCCTTTGCTTCACATGACTAACACTGTGTCATTACTTCAAACACCAATTGATTTGATGACAATATGTTTGTATCCTATTTAGCACTCTTAGATTTTAAACATGCAGAAGCATAACAGCAGAATTTCAAGGGAAATTCTATGTAAGTATAAGAAGTTCTATATAAGTAGCTATGGTTTTGTTAGGTACTCAGGCAGTGAACAGTATGATGCTTTAAGCATGAGAAAAAATTAGATGTATAATAAGACATTCGGGCTCCCTGCAGGGACAGGAGTGCACCTTGGCTTCTCTACACAAGGTTCAAAACTATTGAACTTTTTTTCTCTTTTTCCCTTCTTGTAATAGTTATATGTTTAGTATGTCAGACACCCATTATTCATTCAATATAGATGATTTTGTAGTTAAAACATGTGTCTAACTTGCATCTTGTATTTACCACTGTACTGGGTCTGGCTGGGATGAAGTCAACTTTCTTCACCGCAGCCCTTATGGTGCTGTGTTTTAGATTTGTGACCAAAACAGTGTGTGCACAGCACCAGGGCCCCCTCATCGAGGAGGCTGGGGGTGGGCAAGAGGGTGGGAGAGGACACAGCAGGGACAGCTGACCCTGACTGACCAAAGGGATATCCCATACCATGAAACTTCATGCTCAGCAATAAAGACTGCAGCGCAATCTGTCCAGGGCAGCCGCTGCTCAAAGACTTGCTGGGCGTTGGTCTGCTGGTGGGAGGTGGTGAGTGATTGCCTTTGCACCACTTGGGTTTGGGTTTCTTTGTTGGGTTTTTTTGCCTGCCTTTCTCTCACTTGTTAAACTGTCTTTATCTCGATCCACAAGCTCTTTCTTGCCTTTGCTCATTCAACTGTATCATCTCTCACCTCACTGGGGGCAGGGAGTGAGCATGCAGTGGGTGGTTGTCAAAATTAAGGTAGTTTCTGCTTCCAGGACTTAGAGACCAGGCCTTGACAAGGAAAAAATCCCTACTTCTTATACCAGTCATACACGTCTTACACTCTGTTAAGAAACTACGCCAGTTGCTGCAGCCTCAACTAGCTTTCAAGCCACATGCACAGATACTCACTTCCCACCACCTCCTCCAAATGCTTCCTGCGCCAGGCATCTGGGCTATTTCAAGCTGTACTTCACTAACTGATTTAAAGAAATAGCAGATGGCAAATGGCAGATAGATCCCTGATGGATAGTTAGATCCTCCACTACTTCCCTCTGCCTCACAGCTGCTATTCCCTGGGCTCTCAAAAGTGGTACCAGTGCAGAAGCATCATTGCCTTCCCATTGGTCATCAGGCTAGGCTTTGAAGTTCTCTTTTTCACATGTTAATCTGTAGTCTAAAGGAAATACAGAATATTTTTTCATACCAGCTTCACCTTGATCTTCCTGGTGTCTTGGCTTCTCCATGGACCTGTCCCTGCACACTGTCTTGCCCTTGAATTGGTCACTTACCACCAAAGCTGCCATCCCTCAAAATAATCACAACAAAAGCCAGTCAGGACTTGTGTTCCTCCAAGTCCATTTCCTCATCCATGAGACTCTTTGCATCAAGCACATTTTCCACAGATGTGATGATCCACAGCAAAAGTCCACCTTGCCTCTCTGTCCATATCCTAGTTAGAGAAAAGCTGTCTTCAGGAGCAAGTTTCCCCCTGAAGTCAGGTATTTGTAGGCTATTCACATGCAGAAATCCAGTGCTTCAATCCTTAGGAGGGTATGGAAGGAGTGTGTTTATGCTTCTAATAAAAATCATACTGCTGATCCTATAAGTGTCCAGGCCTTTTGTGAATGCTGCTCTATACTCTGCACCAATCTGTGTCACAGACTGTAGAAAAGGAAGGAAAAATGTTTCATTTGCTAGTTTGTTTGTTTGGTTAGTTGTTTTTTTAATTTCTCACTTCAACTGTCATTGACTGCCCCTTCATTCCTACCCTTTAGGACAGAATTACAGGTTCAAAAGTGACCAGTCACAAGTTAGAACTTACTCTGTGCTATATCAGCCTCCAGGGAACATGAGAAAAATGAAACTCACTACAGTGAACAGTTTTATTTTGCAGGAAGCAAACAGTACAAATTAAATTTTGTCTTTGACAGGTACCGTGTTAAACTTGGAAAGAATGGGAAAAAACCTGAAGCAGAAACCGTGAACAGATCAGTAAGTATAAGCTCTCACATTTCTTTCATGAGTGATTTCTTGTGGAGGAGGTGTTAATTTCTTTTTTCCATATTCAGACACACAATCCGTACGTGCTGAACAGTCAGTGATTCTCCTGACAATGCATCAGCCTACAAAAGATTTGACTGCCTTAACTAAAAGCTAAGTTGATGGCTTATCTCATTTCCCCACATATGTACACCAGAGGGCAGAAGAAAGAAGAGAGAATTACTTCCTTCCTCAAACAGCATCATAGAGTTTTCCAATCCTCTTGACTTGAACCTCTCTGAAGCCACCTGCCTCAAGGAGCTTGCTGTACGCTGCTGCTGTTCGCTCTTTTCCTTCGGTCTGCACCAACATATTCATTGAATACAGTTGCGTCTCTAAAGGCCCACTTTTATCTTCATTCAGAAGCGATTCAACCAGCAGCACTCCACCACCTGGTTGAATAAAGACAAATAAAACACATGCTGAGCTCTGAGAAGACGAGATACTTTTCAGCTGAGTTATTAGATCCTAACCTTTAGCTTCAGGAAGAAGCAGCCTCTACTTTAAGTCATATTTCAGCATTACAGAAGACAATGAAAAAATGCATTGGAGCATGCCTCTGCCTGGCTACGTAGGTACTGATGTACTGCAGCTGAAGGGGATGCTACGGCTGGGATGGAAATTCCCATTTCCCCCAACTGAAATCCACAGGAGCTGAGCTTACTGATTTTGCTGAGAACCCATCCCTGTAGGCAGTATTTTCAAAGCTCAAGGGTTCAGTGTGATGTTTAATATGATTTTTGCTATGGCGTATACACTTGTCTAACAGAATAGTGTTATGTCACATATCTGATGTTTCCTTCTGAAAGTAGTTATTTTAAAACAAAGTACCACAAATCATTTAAGTGTTAATCCTTCTGAGAAAAATGCCTTTTAAAGAGCTCATGTAATTGTCTCGTACAGAAGGGACAAACATTGGTAGAGACATTAGATAACCCCTCTGTTAGATTTTATTATCTTGAAAAGCATAAGTTCAAAAAGATGGCAGCCGAACCTGCAGCATGAAGCCACTGCAGGCCCTCTTCCCTTGGAGAAGGCTGAAACTCAGCAGACCTGGAAGGGAGCCCTCGTAGCCAGACACGTAGATTCAGAGTTCAGGAGAGCAAAGAGAAAAAGGCTGAGGAGAGGTAAGTAAGTGAACCGTGTCACCTCCAGCCTAATGGTGACACTCTTAGCAGCCCCTGGGAACAAACCACTGGAAATCATGACTTTGGCACTTATAGTATGCAAAAGGCCCCTGAAGACTAGCCTTCCTTGGCTTCCTCTTTCCACAGTTAGAAAGATGGGAAATGAAACAGAGGGCCACACAACCAGGCACGGGGGAAGCAGTGATGGAGCCCTTGAGGGAGCCTGATGACTCCCATGTCACCCTGGCCTGGGACAGCGGGCACTGTAGGATAGAAGGCTGCAGGCAATATCTCAATGACGCTGGCTGAAGGGCAGGAGGGAA